TGCCACCCCTCCGGTTGGCAAGCCCGCGCCCCCCCCCCCCCGGTAGCGTTCCCCGCCGCGGTGGGGCTGAGGGGAACCGGAGCTCGCGCGGTGCAGGCAATGCCCCCCTGTGTTTTGGAGAAGCCAAATGTCACCGCGCGGTGCTGGCCGACCCCGTAGCGACGCTTTAAAACGGTGAAGGAGCTCGAGACGCCCTTGGGACGGCTGCAGCTTGCGGCTCTTAATTTCTGGGTAGGCGAGGGAGAATCCGGAGGCAGGAAAGGGCTTACGTTAGCACGGAAAACGGTAAATCGGCCAAACGGAGGCCGCTGGCGTGCCGCGGATCTGGAGCGGGAGCAGATGGTGCGCACGAAGCCGCGGAAGGGGCTTAGGGTTTGGAGGCAAAGCCCGGGCAAAGGGACGCGTGGCTCGACGCCTTCCCCGACGCCGGATCCGGAGAGCTCCGGGCAGCGCGTCCTCGGATGCGGAAGGACGAGGGTGTTTCTCTGGCGAACGTGGCGCTGCTACGGTCACCCGAAGCCGGTGCCGGAGCTTGAGGGTGCCGGCGGGCTCGGTGCCGAGGCGATTCTCCGGGAGATAAGGCGTTTATCTGGAACTGCGCCGTTCGAGCGGGGTGCTCGGCGCAGGCTGTCCCGGCGCGCGGGGGTTATCTGAGCGGTTCCTTCTGGCTCGGCGCCTCTTATCTGAAGGCCGTGGGGCGACCAAAACGATGTTTTGGGTGGGCGTAAATCATCCCAGGAGCTCTTATCGGAGCGGCCCGCTGGCAGCAGGATGGGACTCGGCCTGTAAAACAGCTTGACCTTAAACCCGCCCTAAAAACCCAGCGGCCGAGGCGGCGCGGGGCCGAGCGCTGATCCCTCCGGCGTCTTTTTTTCCTCCCACCCCCCCCCGCCGCAGACGAACTGCCTGCAGTACCTGGACGCCCGAAACACGCCTTTGCTGGACCACTCGGCGCCCTTCGTGGCGCGCGCCCTGCGCATCAGCAGCAGCCTGGTCGTCCTGCACCTGGAGAACGCCAGCCTCTCCGGACGCCCGCTCATGCTGTTGGGTGAGTCACCGGAGAGCGAGCACCGAGCTCCGGTATCCCAAAACACCGCGGGATGCACGGAGCAGAGCCACGCCGACGCCGGGCTCGCCGTCCCGGTGAGGTCTCGGACGCGTGGCGGCACCGCTGTCTGCCCCACGTTGGAGGTTTCTGCGCCAGCCCCGCCTGCGGACGGCGGGTGTAAAGCCGCGCTGGGCGGCCCCTGTCGTTAAGCTAACGAAATCGCGATAAATCACGGCCGGGCAGGAGCTAATGGCAGCGTTGTGATAGCAGGGATGAGCTCAGGGGTCTGGCAGCGGAGCGTTTGGGGGGTTTAATTGCTTATTAAATTGGCCAAGCTGGAAAAAGGTGCCGGCGAGGGCACGTGCCGTGCGTGAATTGATAACGCCGCCGCTTCCCGCTGCGGGTTGGGAAGGCAAAAAGGGGTTCGCGCGGGATCCCGCCGTTGCCCAAACCCCTTGGAAACCGAGCCGGGGATTTCAGCCGGCATCGCGAGCGCGGTGGGTGCCAAGACGCTCCCGAGCCCGCGGGTTGTGCCGAGGCCGTCAACGCGCCGGCCGGCAGCGCCTCTTCTCCGAGCCGTCCCGACGCGGGTGGAGGTGCTGATTTATTTTTCCGCCTTTTCAGCCACGGCGCTGAAGATGAACATGAACCTGCGGGAGCTGTACCTGGCCGATAACAAGCTGAACGGGCTGCAGGACTCGGCTCAGCTCGGCAACCTGCTGAAGTTCAACTGCTACATACAGATACTCGACCTGAGGAACAACCACATCCTGGACTCGGGTGAGGGCCCCTCGCAAAGCCCCCGATTCCCTGGAATTTTGACCCAATTTTAAGTCGGGGATGAACTCGGCCGCGGGACGCAGCCCGCGGGTGACGCCAGCCGAAGCAGGAGGGTTGCGCAGAGCAGCTTCCCGAGGATTTTAGCGGCGTAAACCGCTCGGTTTTTAAAGCTACGATCGTTAGCGAAACTTTGATTCCTTCCTGGGCCGGGCTGCGAGGGGCACGGCGGCTCCCGACGGCAGGGAGCGGTGGGGATGCCTCGGAGTCGCGTCTTCTTGTCTCCAGCCCTTGCTCCCGTTTGGTTTTTTCCCCGAACGAGCGCCCAAATCAAATCTCAACCCAGGAATTGCGAAACAATCCCAAACTTCAGTCCCGGCTGGTTCTGGTCGGCGACGCCGATTACTCGGCGGTTTTGGAGAAGCCGCGCTCGCTCCGCACGAGCTGTCCCGGCTGCCTCCGGGTTTGGGTATAAAGGTAGCCGAGCGTGACCGAGTCGGATGTCACCGGCGCTGTCGTGGCCACCCGTGCTCCCGGATGGGTCCCACCCTAAAGTGCAAATATTAATTTGCCGCCTTCCAGGTCAGCTGCCACGTCCCTCGCATCTTTGGGCGCTTAATAACGAGCGGCGCTGGGGCCGTACGCGTCAGAAGTCGCTCGCTGGGCGTTGCCGCGGGGTTTCCGCAGCGCCGGGGTGCCGCGCGCTTATCAAATAACCGCGTTTGCTGTAATTTAAAACGGTGCCTGCCCTCGGCCTGGACAGGATTGGGCCAGGGAGGTGGGGAGAGCGGCGGAGGATCCGCCTGGTCTGGTGAAAACGGGGGACGGTGACCCGAAGGACGGTGTGGTCGCCCTGCCGCCGGCCTCTGCCCGCGACCCGGTGCCACCCTGCCACCGCCAGCCCCGGTTCCCTCCCCGGGGCTTTTGTCCCCTGCTCCGAAAGCTCCAGCCTAGCGCTAATTCATTTGATAACGCCGAGAGGTTTACTCGCTTGTTTGCGCACGGGGGAGCGATGCGAGGTCAAATCGAGCAGCTGAGGGAAGGGGGGGGACGTCGTTCGGAGACGCTGCCGGCACCGTAACGCTGCCGTGGCGTCCTCCGCCGTCGTCCTGCCCGGGATCGGGCAGCGCCTGAGCCGAGGAAGCAAGGAAAGCGCTGTTGGAGCTGGCCGGATCCGCGCCGGCAGGGAAGGGCTGACCCCTGGGCTGTTTTTCCAGGCTTGGCGTACATCTGCGAAGGGCTGAAGGAGCAGCGGAAAGGGTTGGTCACCCTGGTTCTGTGGAACAACCAGCTGACTCACACCGGCATGGCCTATCTGGGGATGACGCTGGTGAGTAGAGCTCAGCACCGTCCTGGGGGTTACCGGCTTACCGCCGGCCGCTCGGCTCCGCTCCCGGAGAGACGCCTGGCCCGCGAGCGGATCCGGGCAGCGGTGGGAGCGTCCCACGCTGCCTCAGAGGAGAACCTGTCCCTTTTCCCCCCCCTCCGCCGCCGCTCGGCGTCCCCGGCCTCGGCGGCGTGGTTAAAGGAACAGCCGTGAATTAAACCCGCTCGGGCTTGGGCCGGATCTGCCGTCCCGGCCGCCTCGAGCTGGTTTTGTTTCCCCTGGGTACCCGCAGCCTCACACGCAGAGCCTGGAGACGCTCAACTTGGGCCACAACCCCATCGGGAACGAAGGCGTCCGGAACCTGAAGAACGGCTTGATCGGCAACCGCTCCGTCCTTCGCCTGGGCATGGCGTCCACCAAACTGACCTGCGAAGGTGGGTGGAGGCAGGCGCCCGCCGGTTGCGCCCGCCGCAAGCTCCGTATCCCCCGCAGAGCTTCCCTTTGCTTGGAGCGGCGCGCGGGGTCCGCGCGGGTCCTTCAGAAGGTGGCTTGGCCCGGCTCGGCTCGGCCCCGCGGCGGCGTGGGGTCTCTGCGGCAGGCACGGCCCGGCTCTAACCAAAACGCCGCAGTTTGCCTGTCCGGAGCCGCCTCGTCCCGTGGGTTTGGTGCCTCTGGCGTCTTCTACGCCTCGTGGAAACCTTTTTGCCGAGCACGGAGGGTGCCTGGGAGCTGGCACCCAATTCCCGCTGGCATCCCCCTCCCCAAATCCCGAGCTCCGCTAGCCGCCACCCCGAGGAGCACCGTCGGGGGGACCG